CATGCCATGTGGGTCACCTCCGGGGCCCAGGATTGAACTCACACTACAGCAGCTGCAGCTAGCTTGCAGTGCTGTGTCTTAACCCGTTGTGCCACCAGGGAGGGCCCCCCCAACCCCCTTTTATGTCTCACTATATCTCTTCTCACCCAGCGGCCTCCAGATGCCTAGATCTACCTCTATTAGAGTAGTTGTGCCTTCTCCTAGGAAAACTATACTTGGGATCAAATGGCAGGATTTTAGGCACTGAGGCACCAGACAAGGAGAAGGGAGAACTTCCTGGTACATCTCTCCAGGTACTCTGGGTGGGCAACCAAGTCTGGCCCTGGTTCCAGATTTTCTCTTCTTGTCTTTAGGATAGGGAAGAGCCAAGGCAGAGTGCACCCAGGGACCCAGAGAGGTCATCCTTGGAGGGCAAGTTAGAATCTAGATCTTGGGGGGGATACCAGGGAGACTGCTCACTTTTCAGGTTGAACCATAGTCTCCCTCAGTTCTCCTGTCCATTCTGTCTTCTCCTGACTTGGCCTCTCAGCAGCCTTGACAACACCAGGGTATATAGGGTGTACAGGGAATGGGTCTTCTGTAGGTCCTGGTGTGTACAGTTACACTCAGATTTGTGTTCTTGCTTCTGTTTTGGGGGAGGCTGAGAAGAGCCACATAAACACTTAAGTGTTGGGCCCCATCCAACTGAGACCCAGTTCTAGTAGTTTTCCAAGATGCTGCAGGGGCAGGAGAGGGTCATGTGTCCACAGACACCTGGCTGGTACCCTAGTCAGCTCCCTGTCTGTGGGGACTATGGTGGCCTCAGAAGGCTGCTTCTCTGTAAGCAACAATAGTGTGAACAAGCTGCAGCAGGATGCACCCCAACAACCACTTCCTGTGCTTGGGTAACAGACTTCCTGTATCTGCTCTGTCCCCGCCCCCAAATGTCCTTGCCCTCCCATAAAGGAAGGATCCCCAGAGTTAGGGAATGGGGCTTGAAATAGAACTCAAATGGAATCAAGAGATCTAAATCAAGTTCAGGTGACTGCTCATTTAGTTTGAACTTAGAACACATCACAGGCCTTGGTTTTGTTACCTACAAAAGTAAGTGTATTGGATGAGATGGCCCTTGTACCTCCTCTGATATTTCCCCTGACTTCTTGTCTCTGGCAGGCCCCCAACCTTTAGCTATCACTTTCACCCTGCCCTTAATTTAAGGGAGGAAGGTGTAGGACTGAACGATGGGAAGAGGGAATGGAGGCCTCAGTTGGGGTTGGAGGTCCCAGAATCCTCTCCAGAATCTCTACCTTGGTCTCTGCCAACATTTAGCCCCCACCCCTAACTCCCATCCCCTGTCCGTGGTCACAGCTGCCAGGACCCTGGGAACCAGGTGAGAGTGCCCCCTGGTGTTGACTAGCAACACTGCAGTCAGTGGTCCCACTTCCTTCTCCCCTTCTAGGTGGAATACCTGCTGAAGAAGGTGCTGAGCAGCCTGAGCTTGGAGGCCGGCTTGGGTGAGCTGGAGGAGCTGCTGGCCCAGGAGGCCCAGGCAGTCCAGACGTCTGGAGGCCTCAGTGTTTGGCAGTTCCTGGAGCTCTTCAACTCAGGCCGCTGTCTGCGAGGCGTGGGGCGGGATACCCTCAGCATGGCCATCCATGAGGTCTATCAAGAGCTCATTCAGGATGTCCTGAAACAGGTCAGGCCAGGTTGGGAACTAGGGAGGACCCCAAGGAGGAATCAAGAGGGGACTGGGGAAGGCTCTGACTTTGCTTTGACCAGTAGGGCTACCTGTGGAAGCGAGGGCACCTGAGGAGAAACTGGACAGAACGTTGGTTCCAGCTGCAGCCCACCTGCCTCTGCTACTTTGGGAGTGAAGAGTGCAAGGAGAAAAGGGGCACAATCCCTCTGGACTCGCAGTGCTGCGTGGAGGTGAGGGGGCAGGCGGAGGTGGAGGACAGCTTAGGGCCCAGTGTGTCTGCAGTGTGGTGTGAAGGCAAGGGGGCTCAGAAGGAGGGCAAATGGAGAAAGGGCACAGTGGCACGAATTTCTGCTTAGATGAGTGGAACTCAAGTATTGTTGGGTGCTTGAGAGCCATTCCCATCCATGTCAGCTCTTTAAAAAAAAAATGGAACTCCAAATCAAAATCACTGGTGAATAATGTAGATTTTGCTGAAGATTTGAGAGGTGATGATTTACATATGCGTCTTACTGTGCAGCAAAACTTTTTAAAAATTCCCTTTAAAGGTCTTCCTCTGTTACCTAATTGTAGCAACTATAGCTTCCTATTCTTTGCACTTCTCTCTACCTTCTGTTTCCTGTCCCTCTTGGGCTCTATCCACCTTTTAGAGGCTTAAAATATTTTCTTAATTATAGTAATAAATATAAGCAAATGACGTGAAATTTGTCATTTTAATCATACAATTTGTAGCATTAAGTATATTCATAATGCTGTATGACTATCATTATGACTACTTCCCCAACGTTCATCACTCCAAACAGAAACAGTGCCCCTTAAATTATAACTCCTCACCCCCTACCTCCCAGCTCTTGGTAACTTCGATTCTGCTTCTGGGTCTAAGAATTTCTAGCCGAAGAACTTCATGTAAGTCGAGTCATATAACAGTTGTCCTTCTGTTCCTGGCTTCTTTTACTTAGCCTACTCTTTTCAAAGTTCATCCGTGTTGTAGAATGGATCAGAACTTCATGCCCTTTCCATGGATAAATAGCCATGTAGATCTCCACATTTTGCTTATCCATTCATTGTTATGAACATTTGAGTTGTTCCTACCTTTTTGCTACTGTGAGTAATGCAGCTGTGAATATCCATGTCAAGTTTCACATGTGTACATACATTTTCATTTCTCTTGGGTACATACCTACCCAAGCAGAATTCCTGGATTATTGATAATTCTGTTTAACATCTTGAAAAACAACCAAACTGTTTTTTTCCTGAATGGCTACCTCATCATAGGGTCTCAATGGCAATATGTGATCGTTCCAGTTTCTCCACATTCTTGATGTGACATTTTAAAATTACTGTTATAGCCATCCTAGGTTCTGTCCATTTTAACAGATAAAGAAAAGGGCATCACTTTGAAAAGAGCACAAATCTAGGCAGAACTCCCAGCTCCACCACTACCAAATGGTGTGAATTGTATAGCTTGCTGGACCTCTTAGAGTCTCAGGTTCTCTGCAAAGTAGCACTAATAAAGTTTGCCTAGCTAGGTTGTTTGAGAGGAGTGAATAAAACGATGCACATAAAATACTAGTATAGACTCTAGAATATAAGATGCTTAATACATGATAGCTATTATCTTCTACTAGAAGGTAAACTTAGGGAAGGCAGGAACGACTTATTAGGCACCCTCCTGATTTCAAGTGCCTAGAACAACAGGTGACAGTCATCAGACACTTCGAAAATATCTGTGGAATGAATGAATAAAGAGTTCCTTGACAGGCAGGAAGGGCCTGTTGTGACAATGAGTGAACAGGAGAGCGAGGACCCTGTCACTCGCTCGATTTTCAGGCATGATCCACAAAGACACCTGGTGGGTGCTCTGGGCTAGGACCCCATAGAGAGACACCACTATGAAAACGCCCCATCCTACCTCAAAGAGCAAATACAAGCTCCTTGGTAGACAAGCACTCCCACAGCTAAAGTCCAAGCTGGGCGCTGAGGCTCCTGGCAGAGTGCAGGATGGGGGGAGAGGGGGAACACGATCAACCGGGAGTGAGAGCTGGGACTTGAGTGCGGGCGCCCGTGGGCACGGGCAGCCCTGACCCCAGTGAGCCACTCTGACGGGGTCGCCTGCCCGTTCTCAGGTGCTGCCTGACCGGGAGGGGAAGCGCTGTATGTTCTGTGTGAAGACTGCCACCCGCACATACGAAATGAGCGCCTCGGACACACGCCAGCGCCAGGAGTGGACGGCAGGTGGGTGCTGTCAGTGCCGGGCCAGCCTGGGCCGGGGTGGCCTGGTCCCTGTGAAAAGGTGGGGATGACACGGCCCAGCGGGAAGCTGGGAGATAGGACCCTTGAGACGATGCAGGCTTGGGGGCGGATGGACCTTCTAGAGACCCCGCCAGCCCCCTCCACAACGGCCCCGGTCCCCTGCTGACCCCCTCTCTCCCGCGGCGTCCAGCCATCCAGACAGCCATCCGACTGCAGGCCGAGGGGAAGATGTCACTGCACAAGGATCTAAAACAGAAGCGGCGCGAGCAGCGGGAGCAGCGGGAGCGGCGTCGGGCAGCCAAGGAAGAAGAGCTGGTGCGGCTGCAGCAGCTGCAGGAGGAGAAGGAGCGGAAGCTGCAGGAGCTGGAGCTGCTGCAGGAGGCGCAGCGGCAGGCTGAGCGCCTGCTGCAGGAGGAGGAGGAGCGGCGCCGCTGCCAGCACCGCGAGCTGCAGCAGGCGCTCGAGGGCCAGCTGCGCGAGGCGGAGCAGGTGCGGCTGAGCGCGCGCTGCCGGGGGAACGCGGCTGCTGAGGATGGTCCGCTCCAGCCTGGGGCCCGGCCGGGGGAGGAAAGCGGTGCCGCGGGGCTCGCCTGGCTCCGGACTTCAGGGCTGACGACTGAGGGCGGAGTGGGGCTGCAGGGGCGCTGGAGCCGAGGGGTGTGTGGGGCGGGGCCTGGGCCGCCGGACCGGAGCCGGGAGCTGGGTGGGCGGGCCTGGCCTGCAGGCGGAGCTCGGGCCGGAGGTGCTGCTCGCAGCTGTGTTTGGGGATAAATTGGGGCCGAGTCTGGGCTGGGTTGGACTAGACTCGATCTGCGTTTACAGCAAAACCAGCTTTAGGGCTGCAGAACAGGAGGAAGGCGCAAAAAAGGTGGAGGCAAAGTAGGCATGGAGAAGCAATTACATGTCGGATTTAAGAGTTCTGAGTCTGGAGTCAGAGACACTAGATTTTTTTTTTCTTTTAAATAATATAATAGTTTATTTTTACATCATTTTGTGCATTTTTCCATCGCAGTTGTAATCCCCGTGGGTTTCCCATCACCAAATCACCCCTGTGCCATCACCATAGTCCAGTGCATTTCCCTCCCCCCACTGTTTTTGATCCCATTCCCCACTCCACCCACATAAAATGAAGAGACACTAGATTTAACCCCCACTCTGCCTCTGAGCAGCACATTACTTAGTCTCTGTACTTCAGTCACCTATAATTTTAGTCACAGAAGAATAGTGAGGGTCAGGGCCCTCCCTGGTGGTCCAGTGGGTTAAAGCGCAGCACTGTAAGCTGGCAGTAACCACCTACGTGTGAGTTTGATCCCCCACCCTGAGGTGACCACATGGCGCAGCAGACCTCTCCTGACCCACCCACTGCTCCCCTCAGTGTACCTAGTTCCCCTCAGTCTGCCTGTTCTGCTCCCGCTCTGTTTCTGGTGAATCCTCTCAGACATACCCCCCCCTCCACACACACACACACACACACACACACACACCTCTGGCCTGTACCCTAGTTCTGTATGCATAAATAAATAAAGCTTAAAAAAACAAAAACAAAAACACAGGCCTATCTTTTGGAAAAATGAAAGAAAGAATAGCGAGGATCACATGAGAAAACATTTTCTTTTGTTACAACGGTTATTAGAAGTCACCCCCCTTCCTAGTACTAACCCTAATAAGAACACATTTTATCATATGTACTAATAATTATTAAATCCAGTGCTAGGACGGAAGTGACTTGAGCCCCATTCTGCCATGTCATATCTACATTCACTGAGCATTATCTGAACTAGTCAGACTCAGAAAGGGATCAGGTCAGGAAACCTGGACATGAAGGAACTCACCAGACCCTCACCTGGAGACGCTGGTTGAGGCAGACTAGCAGAGTCCTGGGGAAAGGCAGCAAACCTACTGGCTCCCTCCCCTGTGGCCCTGGTGACCTGCCTGTGTCCCTGCACGTAGGCCAGAGCATCCATGCAGGCTGAAATGGAGCTGAAGAAGGAGGAAGCTGCCAGGCAGCGGCAACGCATCCAGGAGCTGGAGGAAATGCAGCAGCGGCTTCAGGAGGCCCTGCAACTGGAGGTGAAAGCTCGGCGAGACGAAGAGTCCGTGCGCCTAGCCCAGACCAGGTAGGCCTGGGGGGTTCCCTGGGGATCCCCTCGTTGACTCCCCCACCACCCCACTTTGAGCACCTTCAAGGGGCCTGGGCACCTGCGATAACCCAGCACACACTCCACAGACTGCTGGAGGAGGAGGAGGAGAAGCTGAAGCAGTTGCTGCTGCTGAAGGAGGAACAGGAGCGATACATAGAGAGGGCGCAGCAGGAGAAGCAGGAACTGCAGCAAGAGATGGCACTTCAGAGCCGCTCCCTGCAGCAAGCCCAGCAGCAGCTGGAGGAGGTGCGGCAGAACCGGCAGAGAGCTGATGAAGATGTGGAGGTGAGCCCTGGGATGGGATCGGGTGGAGTCCGCCAGGCCAGCACTTTCACGTACAGGCTCTAGAGCCATCCCTAAAACCCTGACTCTATCTTTGTTGACTGTGTGACCATCATCAAATGGCTTAACCTCTGAGTTTCAGGTCCTTCATCTGAAAATGAGGACTGGCAATAGTATTGCTATGAAAATTAAATGAGATACTACATGACACTTAGGACAGCTTCATAGTGCTCTGCTTTAAACCACGGCGCCACCAGGGAGGGCCCCACTTTCCCTCTTTCAGACCTGTTTGTTGTTAGCTTTTGTTTTGTAGCCTAAGTAAGATAATAAACATAATGAACACACGTCAGCTATTTAATAAATGGAAGCTATAATTATTCTTGAACCTTCGGGGGTCCATGAGCACCTTGACCTTGCATGCCAACTCTGTTAATATGATAACCCTTTGTGAACATACATGGGTTTTTCTGGAAAGATTAGCTCCAGACTCTAAATCATCTGTGTCAGACTCTAAGGGGGCTGTGAATCTGAAAAGATCTTGAACGGTGCTTCTGACCTCCCCCTCACCTGCTCTTGCTCCTACAGGCAGCCCAGAGGAAATTGCGCCAGGCTAGCACCAACGTGAAACACTGGAATGTCCAGATGAACCGGCTCATGCATCCAATTGAACCTGGAGGTAATAAGACAGGGTGGACCCTGGAGCTTTCCTTGGGCTGGGGAGGGAAAAGAAGAGAGAAAAGCAGATCCAGATCTCCAGAGCCAGCAGAGCACTAGGGTCAGGATTTCTCCTCTCCCCAAGGGCAGCGGCAGCCCCCTCCCCTCTGTATGCCTGCCTTTTCTCTGCCAGACAAGAGACCTGTCAGCAGCAGCAGCTCCTTCACAGGCTTCCAGCCCCCTCTACTTGCCCGCCGTGACTCCTCCCTAAAGCGCCTGACCCGATGGGGATCCCAGGAGAACAGGACCCCCTCACCCAGCAGCAATGAACAGCAGAAGTCCCTCAACGGTGCGGATGAGGTTCCCGTCCCATCTTCCACCCCTCAGGAAGATAAACTGGACCCGGCACCAGAAGATTAATCTCTGCTAATCTCTTATCCCCTTGACCTGATGCCCACATGAACCTGGCCACAGCTGGCCTGTGGGAGACCCTGATTCCTGCAGAAGAGGGAGGTGAGGATCTGGCATCAGGAGCCCAGGCCCATATGGAACCTGGTTCATTTTTTGTACCAGCCCCAAGCCCCAAAGCATTGAGTCTGTTTGGGGTGCTGATCCTTGAGACCCTCTGCCTTAATCCCCAAGGAACTAATGCCTTGTGTTGGAAAAGAAAATCAACAAGCAAGCCAGGAGCCAACTTGCCTCCAGACTGCCAACAGTTGTAGGGACACATTTCCAAATAAAAACTGCTCTTGGAATGAATTGTTGATTCATTCATTTCCAATGAATAAAAACTGCTATTGGAATGAATGGGTCATCAGGGCTGCTGTCCATCTCTCCTGCCACTTCCTCCATTAAATCCCATCAAGGGTCTAAGAAGAAGTAAGGTGTAGTACAGTGGCCAGAGTTTTGGTCAAGTTTCTCTACCTCTCTGTGCTTCAGTTATAAACACAGATAATAGTAGTGTCTATTTCTGTGTTGTGAGGATTAAGTGGCTGGCACATGACAGGCAATATGCATAGCGTGCAGCAATACTTATGACGGGTCTCTCCTATGCCCTGCAGTTTCACAGGTGATTGAATTACCATGGCAACCCCTGAGAGGTAGATATTGTTACTCTCATTTTACATATGGAGAAATTGAGGCTCAGAGAAGTTAGGTTACTTGCCCAAAGTCTTCCCAACTTGCTTCTCTTCATATATGATCTGACTCACTGACCCTGTTGCTTGAGACAGATCTGGGAATCTGGGCTGGCTTGCTTCCTCCTCTTATTCCCCTCATAAAGCCCATCATCAAATCCAATAGATCCTCTCCACCTCCATACCCTCATCTCTACCCCCACTTCTCCATCCTCACAGCTATTGTCACGGCTAAGGCCTTTCAATCTTCTACTTGCAAACTGACCTTTTGCTTCTCCATGTTGCTCCAACCTAACCCACCTCCAAGTCTAACTGATTGATTTGAGAGTCCATCACTCTCAAATCCTCCCTTGAGGCCATTTCTCATGGCCACTGCCTTAATCTAGCCCTTGTCACCTTTCAACTAGATCAAAGCATTAACTGGGTTTCCTTGCTCATCCTTCTCCCTGTGACTATCTAAATGGGTTTTCTTTCTTTCTTTCTTTCTTTTTTTAAAGATTTGTTTATTTATTTATTTATTCATATAGAACTGGGGTACAGTCTAGAGGTACAGGTGTGGTAAGAGGCTTCACCAGTGACAGAGTGGGGTGTAAAACGGGCCAATTGACAAAATACACTGCTGAGGGGAATAGCGGGGAGACAGGAGAGGTCTGCTGATTCATGGGGGTCATCTCCAGGGTCAAGGATGGAACTCACACTGTAGTGGCTAAAGCCAGCTTTGCAGTGCTGTGCTTTAACCCGTTGCGCCACTAGGGAGGGCCCTGAATGGGCTTTCTAAGACACAAATCTGCCTTTATTCTTCCGCTGTCCAGTCTCTCAGTGGTACCCTGAACAGTCAAGTTCATATTCCCAAGTGTAGCATGAGACTCATGACAATCTAGCTCAAAAGGACCCTCTATGCCTTTGCCTCATAGATCTACTTGAACTCTTTCTTTCTTTTCTCTCTCTGAGCTTACACACTGGCTGTCCTTTTCATTTCACTGTACACAGTAGTCTCCATAATGAAAGCAAGGAATATCTTTTCAACTCATGTGCCCAGTGACTAACACAGTGCTTGCCTCAAATGTTTGTCAAATGAATTCATGAATGTATAAATTATAAAGCAGTGACTGATTGTCATGACTTAAAAGTGATAAAGATTCAAACTCGTCTATTTATTTCTTCAAGAAATTATTTATTGAGCTCTGCCAGGTATTGTGCTAGCTGCTGGCTATATATCACAGAACAAAGCAGGTAAGAGTCCTTGCTTTGCTGGAGCTTATGTGCTAACTGATATCAAACTTAATGTCTTTGCAAGTACACAAATCTCTACTGCAAGGCGCTTCCTTACAGTTTATTTAAAGTGTCATAAAACAAAGCTGCCAGGGTAACAGTGCCTATATCAGGGATGGGGAATAAGATTCAAACTCAAAGTGTGGTAGTAATCAGAATACAAGAATGACTTAGGTAAGAGTTGGGATTTGAGATGGCCCCTACTTAAAAAAGGCAAGAGAGCGGCCCTCCCTGGTGGTGCAGCAGGTTAAAGTGCAGCACTGCAAAGCCAGCCAGGGCCACTTCAGAGTGAGTTTGATCCCTGCTAGTTCCATCCCTGACCAGGGAGCTGACCCACATGTCACAGCAGACCTCTCCTGTCTCGCCTGCTGCTCCCCTCAGCAGTGTACTTCAATCTGCCTGTTCTGCTCCCCACTCTGTCTCTGGTGAAGCCTCTCACTGCCCCTGAGCCGCTGGCCTGTACCAGAGGCCTGTACCAGTTCTGTATGCATAAATAAGTAAATCTTTAAAAAAAAAAAAAAGGTAAGAGAGCATAGAACAACAGAGAGAAGGACACGTTGATGGATACAAGAAGTCTGGATTCTGAATTTGAATGGAAGGACCCCTCTCGTTAGTGTGAGGAACCTCTAGGTATAGGAGTTTAAAGAAAAGCAATTTGCAAATGCTCAAATTCCAAGTGTTCTCTTTGCCAAAACTCTCTTACAGTTTCACCTTTCCTACCTTAATTGTTACTATCTTTCTATAGCAAACTGCTCACATTTGAGCCTTAAAATTCCTGGAACATTTAACAAAGCAACAATATGAAATGCTGACATAGGACTGTGGGTGCTGGGAAAGCAAATGGCTCAAAAGCTGAACAACAAATCCTTTTTGTTTTCAAGTCAGGAGGTTTCCAAATCTTTGCTTTCAAAACCTGCAAAGGCCTGATTGCACTGTCAGCTAAAAACCATTAACAGTATTTTTTATAATAGAACTCTGTGATTTGTTTTGGCAAAAAACTTAGAATTAGATATCATAGCTATATAAAAATTCAATTCCCATTTACTTATTTATGTGAACAAGGGGCTCAGCTTAAAAATGAAAAAATGGGACTAGAATTAATGCTGAGTGCAGAATCATTTTATCAACAAGTAATCTACTATGAACATCTGAACTACCTGGGAAAGAAAATAGCCCAGCTATTTCATTAAGAAAGACATTTCCGGGGCCTTCATTTCAATAAGTGCAGCTTTATGAAGCTACTACAACCACTGCAGCATGAGTATTTCCCCTCAGCAGTGTATTTTAGTCAATCTGTCTGTTCTGTTCCCCATTCTCTTGTGGTTCCTCTCACCCGCAAGCCTCTGGCTTGTACCCCAGCTCATATATACATGAATAAATAATTTTTTTTTAAAGAAAGACACTTCCAATGTATTTTTCTGCATTTATATTTAATATTTATAAAAATCATGTTTGTATGGTTTCCATCAAGTGGATATTATTAATATTTGTCTTTCAAGCTAGAAGACAAATTTTCATTTAGTGTTTTAAAAAGGTGAAATCAGTTAACCATTTTAACTTATATACATATTTTGTTTGCAGAGATGTGTGATATGTTAATCAATAAAAGATGATCAAACATATGTTACAATAAGATGATATTTTTGAGGGCCCTCCCTGGTGGCGCAATGGGTTAAAGCACAGCACTGTGACGCTACCCTCAGCCGCTCCAGTGCAAGTCAGATCCCCGGTCAGGGAGTTGACCCACATGGCACGGCAGACCTCTCCTGTCTCACTCACTGCTCCCCTCAGCAGTGTGCTTCATCAGTCGGCCTGTTCTGCTCCCCACTCTGTCTCTGGTGAATCCTTTCATCCACCATACTTCTGACCTGTACCCTAGTTCTGTATGCATAAATAAATAAATCTTTACAAAAAAATAAAAGGTGATTTTTTTTGAGGGAAAATATAATGGAAGTACAAGGAGCAAAAGGGACAATGTAAAAATTTTATTACTGGTCCTCCCTGGTGGCGCAGCGGGTTAAAGCACTGCACTGAGAATCTAAAGCCACGTCCGCATGAGTTCAAATCCCGCCTGCCCCGGAGATGACCACATGGCGCGGCAGACCTCTCCTGACCCGCCCGCTGCTCCCCTCAGCAGTGTACTTCGTCGATCTGCCTGTCTGCTCCCCACTCTGTCTCTGGTGAGGCCTCTCGCCACCCCTGAGCCTCTGGCCTGTACCCCAGTTCTGTTTGTACAAATAAATAAATCTTAAAAAAAAATTGATTACTAAAAATAATGTTATTTTTAAGATGGATGATGAGCATTAAGTCATTATGAGATAAGAATATTACTACATTTAAGAGTATAACAACAGTTTTATATTAACATGTCAATATTTATACAACAGCAGAAATTACATCTATCCTCTGTAACTACTAAGTTTTAAACTAATGATGAAAAATTTTAGATGTCACCTAAAAAATGTGCCAGATGCTGCATAGTTCTTATATATTCTTTTAGGACAAGAAGGACAAAAGTCCTGAAGACCTGTGACAAGAAAGGTGGAAGGAAGCCTGATTGTAGAGATTGATACTTAGAAGATTTTAGACTTGAGGTGGCAAGCCAACCCCTGAGCCTCAGTCTGCTCATCTGTAATAGGGGTTGATTCAAAGCTTCTGAATGTTCTATGATGGAATCCAGTGAAGCGCTGACAGTGGAGGTGTGAAATAGTGAAGGGAATATCACCCTGAAGCATGAATGCAAGCCCCACGGGAGTTCCATGATGGCATGGAAGCCGTTAGTCTTGGGGAACTCTAGTAGGGCATAGAAGATATTTCCCAGTCTTCAATTCTGGGGGTAGAAAATAACTCCTCTGTCCTTTGCACCATCCTGGACAAAGGACAATGTATCCAATCTTGGATGCCCCCAGTCTTTGCTGTACTGGGGCCTCTCTACATGACTTGTATGTGAAGGGGGGTGGGGGAGGTGAAACAACTTAGTGTTGCCAGGATATGCAAGGCGCCTCCTCTTCAAGAGCAGTGTCTACCCAGGCCCATCAGGTGCCCGCTAAAAGGTGCCACTATCATCCCCCTGTAGTAAGTGAAAGAGGGAAGAGCCAGGATGCTAAAGAGGCTGTTATCAGGTGACTAGGGAGATGCCCACCTGCTGGCTGGAGCCTGAAACAGCTACCACATAGATCAGAATCTAATCGCAGATTTAGCTTTATTCTGTAATGTAAGTTATCTTTCAGTTACACTGTAATTAGGTATCACCCCAGGTTTTGGTAACTTTCTGCTTGGCCTGGAAAAAGTTGCAGAAGTTTTGCAGGGATCAACTTTTCCAACTTTGAGTCATGCCTGTGGGCAAAGCTGTATTAATCTGGATTTGTGATTCAAGTAGCAGAATTGACCCACTTAAGTACAAAGGAAAATTTATTAAACAAGAATAGAGGAAGCCCTCTCTGGTGGTGAAATGGGTTAGGACACAGTTATGCAAGCTGGCCACAGCTGCTTCAGTTTGAGTTCTATCCTCAACCCTAGAGGTGACCTACATGGCACAGCAGACCTCTCCTGTCCCACCCGCTGCTCCCCTCAGCAGTGTACTTCAGTAAATCTGCCTGTTCTGCATCCCACTCTGTCTCTGATGAATCCTCTCAACCCCTGAACTAGACCTCAATCCTTGTATGCACAAATAAAATATTTTTTGAAAAGTGAAAAATAGATCTTAACAATGCCCTTAGAATTTCTTTTAGGGCTGCAGTTGCCTGTATTAGTGGAAATAAGCCTCTTAAGAATAGAAAGTAATATCTTCAGGTTTGAGTGTGTTTCCTGGAAACTTAGCAGTGAAGAAATATCTTAAGATGTATCTTTCTACATGGAAAACCAGAAGAATTTTTATTTTTCTCTGGAGAGGGTGATATAGAGGAAAGAATGGTACAGCAGTTCCTAGAGAATGAAGGACCAGTTAGAAAACCTAAATGGGAGTTGTGAAAAGGACTTCAAAGAATGTCTAATGAGTGCATTTAAACTATAATACATCATGTGACCCTGCTTCAATGCTCCCAGGGCTTAATACTGTGGGTATACTGGTGAATATGTGTGTCGGAAGATGTGAGCAATCCTCAGGAAGGCTGAGTTTCATCTCACATTTCTGAACTGTGGGACTGCAATACCCTGTACAAACATGAGACTAGAGGCAGAGCTATTTGAAATAATTTAAATCCCCAGAAATTTGCAGAAACCCATTGTTGACTTCAACTTTGAAGGCCAAAGAAGGTGAAGTCTGAATTACAGAAGTAATGCACGTTTATTTTAAAAAGTAGCTGGAAAAAAGGGCTGTCCCTGGTGCCATGCACTATGAAGCTATCTGCAGCATGAGTTCAATCCCAGCCAGGGAGCTGACCCACATAGCCCAGCAGACCTCTCCTGTGTCCCTGCTGCTCCCTTCAGCAGTGTATTTCAGTACATCTGATTGTTCTGTTCCCTGCTGTCTCTGGTGAATCCTCTCTCCAACCCCCCCAACTCTGGTCTGTACCCCAGTTCTTGCTTGCATAAATAAATACATCTTATTTTTTTTTAATGTAGCTGAAAAAGAGTAGTGTAACAGGGTGTTCCCCAGGAGAAAAGGAGTTGCAAGGTTCCCTGCCCCACATTGTATCAGGGTGGTCCCCTGGAAAAGGGCAGGTCCCAGGTTCCTTGCCCCCACCTCCTTTGGGGTAGGTAACCTGGGACCTCCCCTTCTCCTGGGACCACCTTGTTACAGTAGGAGAAAAATTACTCATCATTCTACTGTGCAGATAGTAGAAGGTGTGGCCTGAGGAGTATATACACGAAGGGAGGGGTAATCTTTACCCTAAAGATTGTGGAGAGGTGGGAATTACCCATTGATCTTATTCCTGTGAGTCAAGTTATGTTCCCCACCAAATGATTAAATCCTTCCACCAGGCTGCCTCCCATTGCTAGGTGAGGATAGGATATCTGGTTCTGAAGCCTGAGGTCAAGAAGTGAGAACAGAATTTTCTACAACAGTAGGGAGGATACTCCCTATGTAGGTGAGCGAGTGTATTATTAGATAGCAGCACCGGAAGATAGGTAAGAAGTTCAGAACTATAAATTTCCACTTGCAGAAGTCTTTTGAGGGAGATCAAGCCTTTTACTAAAATTACAAGCAGTGCAGTCTCCTCCAGTGGAGTCGGGTTCTAGCCTCAGCATTGCTTATTATTCCAAGTCACGCACGTTCTCTCACTGTTTCATCACGGGGAGGATGAGGATGTTGTACTAGATGACCTCTAAGTTGCCCTTAACTCCCTCTTCGTGATACTGGCCAGATTTGCTTTACTGGCCCTGGCTCTCCCTCCAGCAACTCCGTCAGCGGCGAAGACCGCATCCGGCACTAGAGGGCGCTGCAAGCGGACCCAGGGTAGCGTGCGGGTGGGTGGAGACGCAGAATCAGGGGAGCCCGCAGGCGACGCGATGATTGGCCGCGACCTGGGCGGAAGGGGGCGTGGAAAGAGGAGGCCGGAGCTGCGCGGTGACGTCGCGCTGGCAGGGGCGGGGCCGGGTCGCGCAGCGTGTGACGCCACGGCCGCCGCGGAGCTGGGGATTAATGGGAAAAGTTTTGGCAGAAGCCGGAGGAGCCTGCGGGACGGCGGCGGTGGCGCGGAAGGCCGCCAGAGCAGGTCAGTCCGGGTCGCGGGAAGCGGACAGGCGGGTAGTGGGGGAAAGCGGCGACCCGGGGCTGAGGCGGCCGAAGGGTCGCAAGGCCCGGCGGGGAGTGTGGTGGGGGACGTCAGGGGTCTGCGGACAGAGCCATTGACGCTTCCAGATGCCCCTGCCAGGGCCGGTCAGCGGTCAGCGGTCGCTGTCATCGGTTGCTCTCCTGGCGCGCCGCCCCACTGCCCCTGCCCCCGCAACTCAGTGGCCCTCCATCGCTGTTGGAACCCGAACCCGGGCCTCTCCCGCCCGACTCTTGTGTCCCCTCTTGGGCCTCGTGGCTCCGTCTCCTCCCACTTCTGTGTTCTGATAGACCCGTGTCAGGGGCAGGGGGCTCTCCCACTCCTCACCCTGCCCTTAACGTCTTCCTTCCCTCCTCTGGTGTCCCAAATCCGTGGTCCTCCCTAACCAGGGTCTCCTTGGGGGATCCCCTCTGCCCTTGTTTCCTTGCCCCTGCATTTGTCCTCCATCCTTGCCCTCTCCGTCTCTGCTCTCTTTTTCTTCGCCCTTCTCTCCTTTCCCCGATGCCTGAGCTCTCTCAAATATTACTGTTCCCTGTCATCTTCAGGGTGTCAGACTTTCTCAGTCCCAGCAGGCAACCCCTGTCTACCTTTGGCTCTCCAACCTCGCAAGCCCCCCTTCCCTCCAGCAAGCCTCCCTTCCCTCCAACCATGCTTTCACCTTTCTGCCTGATTTTCTTCCAATCAGCCCTGTCCCCTGCATCACTCCCTTTCCAAATCCCAAGTTCCTTGCTTCTGCTTTCGGGAGAAGCATCAGCTGTCCCTTGACCTGCAGTTGAGATTGCAGTGGGCTCGAAGTGTTCAACTCCTGGTTAAAATAAGGGACTGAACAGTTGAGGTAAATAGCAGGTATGTTTGTGTGGGAGAATTTACTGAGGTGTTGCATCAGTGATGATGTCCAATTTGTAGAGCATTCTTCTCATCTCAGCTTTAATACTTCCCCTTTATGGGTCTGTCGACTTCCAGGAACCCTTGGGGAGAGACAGGCCGCTGAGTTGGGTGTGTGCCAGGGGTAGCTGGAGGCCTCATCCAACTCTGTTTCCCTTCCAGGAAACAAGGCTCTGTCTTTCCACACAGAAACTTTGATACCCTGGCATATCTTTGCCCTCAACTTTTACCCTCCACCTTATCTTCCACCTCAAAGAGCTGATGCAAGTATCCAGAATCTATGTCCCAGAAAATGCCTGTGGTCCTCAGCCTTTTTCTTCTGCACTGACTTCAGGATTTTTTTTTTTTCTCATTTGAATTTTGAAATAGATTGCTGTCCTGATAGCCCTGGGGCTGGCATCTGTCCCTTTTTATTATTGGTGACTTCAGCAGCTGCTGATTTTCCCTCACACATCTCTGACCAACTGAATGTGTCAGAGCATCTGATGTTGGTCACTGGGGCAGGTTCTTCCTCCATTTTCCTTGGGAGCTTAACTTCCTCCAAGAGGGAGATTGGCATTGAAGTTCTGGTCCCTTTGCCCAGGGTGTAACAGGGATGTCAGGTCAATATCTGCCTGGGCAGGTTGTGGGGTGCATTAATTAGACTATATTGCTTCCAATTACACAAACCATCTTCTCTGGGGCTAGAGAGCCCACCACTTTTGTGGTGTGCCTAGGTGTTTAACCTGGCCAGATAGCAGGTCTTTTTAGATACCTTTCATTTGAGTTATTTTACTTGCTGTTGGTCCCCTAGAGAGATTTTCAGGAAATAGCATATCCTTTCTATCTTCCCAGTCCGACCCTGGAGAACTCTGAAAGCATGACCCACTCTCGTGTTTAGAAATGAAGGCCCGTTGTTTCACCTGGCTTGGGTTTCTAGGTCTCCTCTTTTGAGGATTGTGCTCTCTGTCTTTGAGCCAGAATTGGACACAGAATTGGCAACCTCAGGATCTTGGTGGGGAGCCAACTGAATCAGCTAGACCAGACTTTTAAGGTTTTGGAATCCTCTTGTGCACTGACCTTTTTCTGTGAAAGGAATAAAATGGGGGTGGGGGGAATGACTGAACCAGTTCTTTATAATCAAATCCCTGAGCCCCCTCTAAGCAGCAGCACTTGGGGAGGGGAGTGTTTGGACAGAATGAACCAGAGAACTCCCTTGTTCCTATGAAAAACATTCATCTGGTCTTTTAGTGGGTTATTCTAATGAAGTTGGGATTGCATGTTTGCCAGTAATTTAGTCCAATTTCTGACTTGCAAGAAGGACTTCACTTGTCTTGTTGAGCAGTTTGTTGCTCCTCTCACTGTTTACCCATTAGTTGTACTCTGCAGATGGAGCAGCTATACAGGGCTTGAGAAGAGGTCACGCCCAGTCCTTACCAGGTAGTTCATTCTTCTGAAGGGGTAGTCACAATTAGCAATTACCAGAGTTCCCACTTGTCACTTTTTGCAAAGCTTGGGTCAGCTTGCCTTCCCTTCATAAGTGGGTGCAGATCCCTGAATGAACTAAGCAATGAACCACTTTTTTGTTGGTCTGCCTTTCTCCTTACATCTCCACTGCTGTTTCCTTCCTTCTTCGGTATCTGCTTCAGCCCATTCAGGAAGAATTACCCTTACTCAACCTTTCAACATCACTTGTGATCCCTCAGACCCTTTCCCCAAAGGCTTGGTGCCAGTGTTGGGCACTCAGCCGGCAAGCTAGTAGGACTCTGCTTTGAATAGAATGCAGCTGTCCTGGCTGTTGTGCAAGGCATCTTCGGACCTGCTGATCCTGGCAGGTCCTGGGACAGTGTCCTCTCTCAGGAGACCCATATCCTGTCTCCAAGACCCATCTCCCTGGGTGCTCCTGCTGGCAGGGAAGTTAAACTGTTGACTGCACTGTTGACTCCTCCTTCAGTGCCACTCTAATGGTCTGGAAATGCCAGGAGCCGCCCCAGTGCCCAATATTGTTCATGCTGGGAACACTCTTTTCCTCCCTACCCAGCATCTCTGGGACTTTGTCCTGCCAGCCTCTTGCTTTGTGTGTCAGCAGTTTGCTGCATAATGTCCTGTCTGTATCATGTTATCCCTTCAACACCCTCTTGGAGGTAGGTTGATGCCCCTGAACATTTTTCTGCACCTTTGGATCCAGGGGGAAGAGCTGCTTGCTGCAGCTGGCTTCCACAGTGTCAGAGGAGAGGTCAACACTTGCTTGAGCGTGGCAGTGAGGAAATGACCCTTGTATCAGGTTCTAGACATTGAGTGTCTTTTCTTGGCAGATGGCTGCTGGCCTTTATACCTCAGACTAGGGTGTGACTCCAGTCTTGTCTCTGCGGGCTTTGGTCAAGGAATGGAGCATGACTCAGGGTATCTCCTTTTATGAGCTGCCACCCATAGCGGGTGCTGGGCTCCAGCTCCTCACCTTGCCAGCTCCTTCTGCCCCACCCTGGTGAAATCAGCAAAGCTGGTGTCTGCTTACTTGGAAGTGAGCACACTACTTCCAGGACTGGGAAGGTTTTGCTGACTCAGGCTCAGATAAACAACATTTTGGTGTGTATGTAAATGACAGAAGGGGAGCCAGTTTGCTTTAGGGATACTCTTGGAGCCCTGGTGTTTAATTGTATTGATTAAGGCTACATTTCTCATCCCTGGTTTAGAAACTGTTGGGTTTCAGCTAAAACTGTTGGATTTCATGCCTCCCCGGTGGTGCAAGGGGTTAAAGCACAGCACTATGAAGCTATTGGCAGCCACTGCAACACAAGTTCAATCCCTGGCCAGGAAGCTGACCCACATGACATGACAGACCTCTCCTGTCTCACCCGCTGCTCCCTTCAGCAATGTGTTTTGGTCAGTCTGCCTGTTCTGCTCCCCACTCTGTCTCTGATGAATCATCTCACCTACCCCACCCCCACATACCTCTGGCTTGTACCCCAACTCTTGCATGCATAAGTAAATAAATCTTTAAATAAATAAATAAAACTGTTGGGTTTTTTTTTTCTATCCTGCAGTGTTTGGTGGTTTGGGCATGCCGGTGGTACTCACACAGTGGCTTCTGCTCACCAACAGATGAGGACAGATGCATCAAAGAGGTAATCTCATTTTCTTTAAACAAGAGTCTCCAACAATAGATATAAGATCCTTTCATTTCTCTTGGGCTGAGTCCCAGATCCTGGGTAACAGTCACTACATTGGGAACTCTTTACTGGCACACGTTAAATAATCATTTATGGTCTATAGCTAACATAGTTTTTGGGGGAACATTGAGATTTTTATGTTTATACCCACTAAGCCATAAACCCCTCAAGGATAGGAACTTGTTTCCTGTTGTGTCTAGGGCAGTGTCTAACATAGAGGAGAGGCTGAATAAATATTTGTTGCATGAATAAATGAACACATTTTCTTCTCTGCCTATCCAGTACCCAGCTACAAAGTTGGTGTTCATTCTCTTTCATTTATGCAAACATTGAACAGTTTTGAGTCCCTGCTGTGTGCCAGATGCAATACTGGCATTTGGGAGATGATAGTTAAAACAAAACAAAATAGATTCAGTTCCTGTCTCATGGGTATGTAGTTTGCTGGTGTATTTGAGAGTTGGGCACGATACATAGAATTGTTTTTTCTATCTCTGCTTGGATGGATGGTGGGTTCTCACCAGAGGCTGGGTAGTATTTGGGTTTCCCATTACTATACCTCTGTTTGTTCTCATGATGCCTCACAGATTTTATGAACTCAGAAAGAAAACTCTAGGAAATTTGATGTTCTTGTCTCAACTGTTTGAGAGGCCAAGCAGTTGTGGGGTCCCTGCTGGAGTCCATGGGAAACATGGGGCTTCTGTCTGATTTGTTTTAATCTCTGAAGCTCAGTGGTTCCAGAAGCTGTTTATGGGCTCCACTTCCCTTTCTCTGCCTTTAACACCCTGCGGGTTTTCCTGTTGCCTAACAGGGTGCTGAGCCCGTGTGTCTGTCAGGCTGTGGGGGTCAGATTGTTTGTGGATCTTGCAGGAAGACCTCAGGCAGGGCCCCCTCCTGTCCTCAAACCCATACCAAGTCCTTTCCTCTGAAGGAAATGTGACAAAGGAAGAAGTGGGGGGTGTCGTTGTGAGGCATCTGAGTCCCTGAGAGGGGAGGAGTGAAGTTCCCTGAGGAGGTAGCTCTCCTGAGTTGAGCTGATTTGCCTTGTCCTGCTGATTTGCCTTGTCCTTTGTTGCAGCAGCTGCTGGCATAGTGCAATCAGGTATACATGTCCAGAAGCTATTTGTCCAGTTCATTTCTAAGCTGTGAGCTTCCGGTCCCATCTAGAAGTTTTCTTTCTTAGTTTCTATTGGAAAGGGTGAAGCTATAGCGTCATTAGATTTTTCAGTGTCACCCTCCAAGAGCCATGGTTTTTCCAACTTAGTCTCTCCCATCTGAGGCACTTTGTGTGCACCAGGTGCTATAACAACCTTTCAAGTGTGTGGAACTTAGTTGGGTAGAGAAGATTTTTATATTAGTGAGCTGATGGGTACCAAGAACATGATGCTGTACAAGTGAACTTATTTAGAGGAGTAGGTCCCCACTGAAGATTGACTTTGTACCTGAAGAAACCTGGTTTCACATTTGGCCTTTAGAGAAAGTTGATTTATTTTGAAGTCACCTTTGGAATATTGTAAAAGTGGTTCTCAGAAATTTTGGCCTCAAGCCCTCTTTACATCATTAAGGACCCCTAAAACGTTGTGTACCATATTATCATTAAAATGCAGGAATTAAAAAGTCATTAGTTTATTCATTCACTTACTATAATAATAGTAAGCCTATTACATTGATCAAAAATGACTTTTTTTTTTTAGATTTATTTATTTATTCATACAGAACTGGGGTACAGGCCAGAGTTGCAGGGGCAATGAGTGGATTCACTAGAGACAGAGTGGGGGGCAGGACAGGCAGATCAACGAAGTACACTGCTGAGGGGAGCAGCGGGCGGGTCAGGAGAGGTCCGCTGTGCCATGTGGTCACCTCCAGGGCAGGCGGGGATTGAACTCATGGGGAAGTGGCTTTCGATTCTTAGTGCTGCGCTTTAACTTGCTGCGCCACCAGGGAGGGCCAAAAATGACATTTTTAATGAGAAATTACTTTCAAAACAAAGTTGAGGTAATCTCTTAATGTCTGGTTTAATAGAAGACAGTTGGATTCTCATAACTGCTTTTGTGTTTGTTGAATATTGAAATATGTTTTGTTTGAAGTATGTGAAAAGTCTGGCCTCACACCAATATGAAGTTGAGGAAAAAGAATATTTTACTCATTTTTACAGATAATTTTGTGTCTTCCTTTTGATACTACACCAAAACTCTTTAAATGGTAGTTTCTTAAAAGGCTGTCTAGTATGTATGGGTCCTCCCGGTGGATCAGTGGGTTAAAGCACAGCACTGCAAGCTGGCCACAGCCGCTTCAGAGGGGTTCTATCCCTGCCCCAGAGGTGACCCACATGGCACAGCAGACCTCTCCTGTCTAATCTGCTGTACCCCTCAGCAGTGTACTTTGTCAATCTGCCTGTTTTGCTTCCCACTCTGTCTCTAGTGAAGCCTCTCACCATCCCTGCACTTCTGACCTATACCCCAGTTCTGTATGCATAAATAAATAATTTTTTTAGAAAAGGTTGACTGGAATATACAATCTGAAACTTTTTATCAACACAGTTTTCAGATTTTGTGACATGAAAATCCATTCATTGTGTACTTTGATTAAGAAACACTGGCTCACTGAGTTATATGGATATGTAAATGTTTACATATTTCATTTTGAAATATCACTAAATTATGTTGATCAGTATCACCACTAATGTTTTCAGAAAAGTCATCCAATACTGAGGTGTTGTGAAGCTCACAATGATGGATATGTTTCTCATAAATTGAATTTTCTTTTAAAAGCTTGATTCTTATCATTGGTAACATACTGTCAGGAGTTTTTCTTTTTAAAGATTTTGATTATTTTTGTATAGAAGAACTGGGGTGGAGGCCAGAGGTGTTGGGGGTGAGAGGATCCACCAGAGACAGAGTGGGGAGCAGAGCAGGTGAATTTACCAAAATACATGGTTAAGGGGCACAGCAGGCAAGACAGGTGAGGTCTGCTGTGCCTTATATGGTAAGCTCCCTGGCTAGAGAGCAAACCCAGGTTGTCTTGGTGGGCTGTCAGGATATTAGCACTGAGACTTAACCCTAGACCACCATGGAGGCCCCAGGTGTTTTTCTTGAGGTGACAATCTCCATTAATTTTCAAGAAAAAGCCTGCCAAATACCCAAATCTAACTAATTGTTTTTTGTTGCTTTTTAGTGTCCAAACAGGGGCATTAAAGATTAATCTGGACCCTTCAGATTAAAAGAAAATAGTTATAATTTATTAATCTCTGTCAAGTAAAAATGGTGTTTCATGACATAAGTGGTTAGTTTAGCTTGTAACTCAGATACTTATACAAGTGCTTTTTCTTGAGACAATCATTTAACACCTTTTTTTCCTCACAAAATATTTAAAAGACATATACTCAAGGGTCATGATTTAATAAAGTTAATTTTTACTGGGTCATCTATGAAATTCTTAAATGAAACTGGCACTTTATTATCTGTCATGTTTCTGTGTATTGTCTGGGCACCACTGGACAGTTCTTACTTGGGACCTCTCACTTTGCTGTAGTCAAATGGAGGCCAGGCCAGGGATGGAGTCATCTGAAGGCTCAGCTGTGGTGGATGTCCATACTCCCTCACTCACATGGTTGGTACTTAGTGCTAGCTATTCACCAAGGTGCTTCCTTCTGGCTTTTTCATGTGCCTTGGGCTTCGTACAGCATGATGGCTGGTTTCTGAGCAGAAACATCACAAGAGTTAAGTATATTCACAGACCCAGGCGTAAGTGGCATCATTTTTTATGACTTAGTCTCGGTCATTTGTGTCAGTTGGACTAGCTGTTGAACATCAGATGAAGGAATTTACACTCAGTGTTCTTTGGGTCATTGATAATTTGGAGCAAGAGGTGATTATGTTAATATTCCAGAAAGATGGATTAAGTGGAGAAAGAATGAAGGTGGAGAGGTTAGGTAGGCAACTACTGCTATAGTCTAAATGTAATACAATTCTTTCTATTTAATCTGACTTCCTCTGTACAGTTAAAATGATTGATTTTAGCCTTTCAGTCACACAGATTACGTACCCAGAGTGGGGAATAACAACCCCCCACCTACAATTTAGGACTGCTGAAACCCACACAGTATTAAAGAGTTGTATTTATGAATTTATTATATATATATATCTATGGATGTGTATATGTGTGTGTGTATGTATATATATAGGTGTGGCTTATGTATATTCATATGGAGTCATGCATCACGTCTCTCATATAATGCATGCATATAGTAAAGAATTGTCCAAGCTGGAGTCCTATGAGAAAGAAATTAAATTTAAATTTTATTGTCAAGACACAAAAAGTTAATAATAGCATATTCAAAAGTTAAAGCAGGAAAGATAAAACTTTATGTAATACCACTAGACACTTCTTATGCACTTTTGTTGTACTTTCATTGGTCATTTGGAAGAATGAGGAAGTAACAAATTAAAGAATGGTAGAAAGAGGAATATAGAGCAGAGGGAAGAAGGGAGTCTAGAGGGTTAAATAGCAAAAATGAATTTGAAGGAGGACAGGATTGGAAGAACTGCTAGAGGCAGAAAGAAGGTTTTGTGTGTGCCAAAGTGTTAGCAAATTGCTGGCTCCTTCTATGGTTCCCTGGGGCCCTGGCTTCTGGGCTTTAGCAGTTCCTTGCCTTGTCTCTGTAACTCTCCTGTCTGAAGACGCCATGGAAAGAGCTGGACTAGACCTGGCATTGGGCAGAACAGGGTGTGACTCTTAGCCCTACTGTTGTGAGTTGGTGACTTAACATCTCAATACTTCATTTTCCTCTCTGTAACAGTTAAAATGAACCTCAGTAAATATAGATTTATTCCCTTCCTGCTAACCCGTGTTCTGACATGGTGAGTTCAGGGAGAAATGTCTTCTGAACCAGTTCCTTCTGTGATTTATAGGTTGTGGCATGGGATCCCAGCCCAGAGTGGAGAGTCTTTTTCTTCTGT